TCGACGCCGGTTCTTCCGTTTACCTCGAAATCCCGTTCCGCCGAGGACTCGCTCGAGTTCGCCGTAGGAATTTCAAGGCGTTCGAAAAGTTCCGCGCGGAAATATGAAACCGGTGCCGGGGAACTCGAGGATCGATCGAGAACGAGTCGAGCACCGAATACTGGCAGGAACCAACGCAATTACCAAGTTCCCGAGCGTTGTCTTTGAAAGCCCGCCGGAACAATGGCCGGCGTCGGGTTTTCCGTTCGAAGCGGGCGACCGCTTCGTTCCCGGAGCCGCGGATCGATCGTTCGCCGGGCGTCCGTCCCCCGCGAGCGGACAAAGCACCGCGGAACCGCATTTAATAACGGCGGTCGCGCGTATGAACTTCCGCTGATAGCTGTTTAGAAGGACCGTCACGGAAGGACTCTCGACTCTCGTCCTTGTCGCCGGGGATGGCACTTAGATGAGGCTCCTTTGCAGTCCCCCTTTTGTGACGGAACGGCGTGCTTGTGTCGGTCGCGCGCGCGCGTTTAAACAGGTAACTCCATAACGGCGCCTCGGCGAAAACTCGCGGGCACTGTGCGGACCGTAAACGGCGTCAATTTGCAACCGTCGTTTCTTTGACGCCGCTGTCTTTCGAGTCATTAAGGGTGCAACTTTATAACTAATTTCGCCCCCGCCGCTGTCGCTTTGACTACCGCTGATGCTGATATTTTCGAGTTTCACCGATATTGCACTAGCTCTGACCTCGATTCCCTGCGGTTCGAGCGATTGCATCGTTGTTTTTGCGCTCGCCGTCTCGTCCTTTGACGTGTTGATTCAATCTAATTGTATAACGCTGTTTACTGTGCACCTCTCAATCGATAGTTTCTGAAGTCAAATTAGATGTAATTTTTCACTGTAAGGTGAGTTACTGAGTAATCAAGTATCTTGTGTGTTTTAATGGCAATTGCTTGAGGTTTTGGAGAATATTTAGAGAACAGTTACCTTCGATGCCATGAAAACATCGAATACACCATATTACAATTACCAATCCTCTGCACTCGAAAGTTTGTAGCTACATTCATAATTTTCTAATAAAAATCTGATTAAATTTTCAACTGTTACATACTCATTAATCAAGAGAAAGCTACTTTACTTCAACACCTCACGTCTAACCGAATTCAAATTTGATATTTAATACGGTGTGTCGTCTTGCGTCAAACAAAATGGCGCCTATGAGTCCCCCGAGTGAGCAGGGTTACCGAGTTCTAATGCAGTACACGTCGCACAGAAAACCATAATTGTACCATGGAAGAAGTACGTTCTCGCAAACGAGGTACAAACGTTGCTCAATCATCGGGCGGACATCAGCGGAATCCATCGGATCAGCGATACAATGAAAGGCTCTCGAGGGAACAAGGCATGCCACTTTATCCCTCGGTCCCGATCGAACGAACAAATCATTTCACGGACAGCACCCCTAGGCCGGCGGCGCGCGGACAGGTTCACAGTTCGCGGCCGAGTATTCCGGAGTTGAAACGAATTCCCAGAACTTACGGATTCGATTATTAGTTCGCGCAGTCGGGCCGAGCCGGGGGAAACTTGCCACCTTCTTCATTCGCTCGCGCGGCGAGCCTCGGCCTGAGGAATTGTGAGTGCAGGCGGCCGTGTGATTGCCAGTCCCTCTGTCTCCCTCCCCGCCCCGCCCCTTTCTTTCCGGGTTCGACGCGAAGTTCGGCGGGCGAGCCCGCGCGTTAAGCGAATTCCGAGTTCCCGACCTGCTCCATTCGGCTCGGCTGTCGAACGCGATACCAGGGAAACGAAGGAGCTGGCTCGAAGTGGCTTCCGCGGTTTCGAGGCAGGCGACTGCCTCGGGCGCGGTTCGGTGTTCTGGCGTGATTCAAGAAAATCTGTATCGCCTTCCTGTGCGATGTATCTCGCGGTATTATCCATGTGATTTATATTTCACTCTGCTGCTAATACCTTGCGAGAGCACGGAGGAATTCTCTTTGCGTCCGTGTCTATCTGATTTATTTTTCTACTAATAATTTGTCGTTATTATTGTTAATATTAGTATTATTATTATTGATAATTTGTTAATGATATGAAGGTGAAATATCCATAATGAAATAATATTTCTAGTAAAATAATATTATTACTATTATTAATGATAATTCATTAATGATCTGAAGGTGAAATATCCATAATGAAACAATATTTCTAATAAAATAATATTATTACTATTATTCATGATAATTTATTAATGATCTGAAGGTGAAACATCCATAATCAAACAGTATTTCTAATAAAATAATATTATTACCATTATTAATAATTTATTAATAATCTGAAGGTGAAATATCCATAATGAAACAATATTTCTAATAAAATAATATTATTACTATTATCAATGATAATTTATTAATGATCTGAAGGTGAAATATCCATAATAAAACAATATTTCTAGTAAAATAATATTATTACTATTATTAATGATAATTTATTAATGGTCTGAAGGTGAAATATCCATAGTGAAACAGTATTTCTAATATAATAATATTATTACCATTATTAATAATTTATTAATAATCTGAAGGTGAAATATCCATAATAAAACAATATTTCGCTTCAGTCCATTAATATCGAATGATATCCATTTTTCCTATATTACTCTAGAAATCTTTGCACAAGCCTTTCTTTTTATCATACGACAAGGGGTTAAGACGGGCCGGAATTCACAATCACCTTCGATATACCTCGCTCGTGCAAACGCGTACTCTGTACACAGTGTTTCCAATTAGCAGGGGTAAAATAATAATTAACGCGTCCACGTAGGAAGAGCAGCGCCCCGAGAACTCTTAGGAGTTAAACTTTTTAGTCGTCCATATAACATAACGAGGGATTCTTTGTGCAGAGTTCGTTAAGCCTGCGCCCCTTTGATTCCGGATTCTCTGTGGCCGATATTCCGCCGCTTAAATATTTAACAGTTTCCCGGTCATTCGATTACCGGGCCCCTTTCTGCATACCAGACCGCGTTCAGCGGAATTCCCCGCAGATAAACGACGCTGATCCTTCCACCGCTCGCTGCTGCGGCACGTGCAACTGCCGGCTTACTTTTTACTCGGCGATCATGAATAACTAGTAGAAACCGACTAGCGGAACACGGGTTCGGCAGAAATAACTGCGAGAGCGTATCGTCGCAAGAAATGTTTCATTCGACCGTTGCGCAACGAGCGACGCGTCCCGCCGTGCAACATGGCATCGAGATAGAAGGACAACTATTCATCTTTTTTTTATATTCGACGGAGCTCTCGCTGCGCTGGGAGTTCCGAGCAAATCGGGATAGCTACCCTCAGTGATTCTTGCTCGTATTACACTGTAGGCTGGATTTCAAAGATATTTTGATTGATTTTTAGTCGCGTTACACGTTGAGTTAAGTTACATCTTGAATAAATTTTAGTTTAATTACATGGAATGTTTTAGCAATCTTGAATGATTTTCTGCCACATTACACGGTTTGGAGATCATAAATCGAATGACAACGAAAGTGGGAGGAGAATAGAGACCGCCGTAATTGCTTTACGGCTTATACTGAGCGCAAAAAATTCGGTCCCTATCGAGGAGCAGCAATTAAATTCCCGAAATATTCCGAATTGATCCAGAGCGGTGCTCCAACGGCAAACGGAAGCATTAAATCAATTTCAATATTCATTACTCGACTGCAGACTGACCCGGCTAACAAGTTTCGCGCTCGTCCGGCGGCGTCGTCATAAAACAAATTTTTCCGCGCGCACCGATGTGGGACAGGATCTAATAACATCGATTCGTCTTTCCATCAAGACAGCTCCGGGTACAATTTACGCGGCAACGGAAGCTGCGCAACTGGCGGACCTACGTCGGTTCGCGCCAATTAATAAAATGACGGAACACCGCGGTCCACGGCCGGCCATTAATTACCAGAGGCGACCCGGGACATTAGTAATGGCATTCCAACCTGGAAATCGAGCGAAGCGTGCGAGAATTCCTCGGTTTTTTGTGCCCTACGCTCTCTCGTGCTTGAATGTTCGCGTGTTGGACATTTTGTTTCGCGTCGTACGGAAGACAATGGACCAACTAATCTATGAAGTAAGCTATTAATCCTTAAAATAGTGTAGCAGCAGCGTCTTGGTAAATAATACATTCCCAAGAAGCTTCTTTTACAGTAGTATAGTTTTAGAGAAACATCTAACAACACGAAAAGAAACTTAACTTCCAAAAACTGTACACAAACTCCATAAAATCTCAAAATAATCGATAACGAAATTAAATTCGAATAACCTACAGAATTCTCTTCTCGAAACTAGTGCACCGTATTTTTAGAATCCCCCCAGATCAAACAGTACGAGTCAATATGGCAATGGACCAACCAATCTATGAAGTAAGCTATTAATCCTTAAAATAATGAAGCAGCATCTTGGTAAATAATACATTCCCAAGAAGTTTCTTTTACAGTAGTATAGTTTTAGAGAAATATCTAACAACACAGAAAGAAACTTCCAAAAACTGCACACAAACTCCATAAAATCTCAAAACAGTCGAAACTAAATTCGAATAATTTGTAGATCGATGAATTCTCCTCTCGAAACTGGTGCGCCGTATTTTTAGAATCCTCCCAGATCGAACAGTGCGAGTCAATATGCATCAGACCAAATAGCACGAGATCAATATACATCAGACAATAGAACAGCCGCGGGAACCTAATCAAATCAGGCAGAGTTTCATAGAAATCCGCTGCGAACGTCGAGCATAAGAAGACGCGCCGGCCGTGTAACACGCGAGCGCCTCCTTAATCAAGTAGCACGAATCGATATGTGTCAGACAAAAGCCTCTCGGCGGAGTGTAATCGCGTGGTATTGCAGGCAGCTCTTCCCGCTCGACACGGGGACGCTTTGAAGCGTACATACCCCGGCTGTCCTTCGATACCTCGGGGCGAGGAGCGATAATGCCTGTCCACGGAAATGTTCGGAGTGTAAGCGGATAAACGAAGGAATACTCACCCATAGCCGGCGCGTAGATGTTCAAGTAGAGGCAATCCTCGCTCTGATTCCGCAGATGCGGCAGTAGTCTCTTCAAGTACTCCAGCCGGCCTTTCGGCATACGCTCCAGTGCTTCTTGCTCATTCGAGATGTCGGGCAGCTTTTGGGGGCAAACTGGACCGACCGAGTTCGATAATCTGTAAAGAGGGATTCGCTTGAGCCCGCTCATGCGTGACGACGCGGATAAATCGAACGGCGCGGCCCCGCAATTCGGGAAAACCACAACGAAGGGATGATTACAGAGAATTCGACCCACCCCCTTTGTCTCGCTTTACGATTAGATGGATAGTGATTCCGATCCGCCTGAGTGCGAGCGAAATGTACTCCGTTAGCGGGGGATCGGATCATTCCGCCTCCACGAAAGAGTCCGACGAGTAACACTGCGAATCTGTGGATCGATCGTTGCTGTTTTATTCTGGTCATACGTTGAATAAACAACTTTGGTCGACTTTGTTAACCTTCTATCGGCGCGTTCTACTTGTTCGATCAATTTTCTGAATTCTTTTTGCTTGTTGATGTACTGACTGTTCGTTGAAATGGTCGGGATTTTCATACTGGTTAAGATATTTCATGGGGGTAATTTTTACTGGATGAGATACCGGATTCCTAGTGTCGTTTGTTTCGTTAGATACGGAACCTGGTGTATTAAATCGTAACAAGTTTGCGATTTAACGACTGTGTGCTCTGATTTAGAACAGCTTGTCCCGTTTTAATGCCATTGTAGTCACGAACGCGTTGATTACGTTCCTCGCGCCTTCTTCCCTGTAGCCGATGGCGAAAACTGTTTCGTCATGATTTCTCTATGCTCAGCAAAAGTCAGATGCATTGAAACGCGTTTCTATTCCGAAGACCGGCGCGGAATGACAGGATGGCGGATATGAAAGGGCATACTGGCTGAATACTTGAACGAATTTCAAAGGAACAGCTTGACATAACTTTGCAGGAAATATGCTGGCAGAATACGTTTAAGAATCCGCGCATTAAGAGGATGCCAGAAGGTAGAATACGTTCTATGAAAATCAAACAAATTGTCAAGATACAGTGATCGCGATTCGATAGCACTATCATTTATCGCGCTGCAACGTTAGTATTGTCCGTTCGATTTCGATCACTCCGTATGCTACTAACTTAGGTTGGGTTATCTATATTACACGAATATTATCGTTATGTGGATTATACTGAACTGCGAAAGAGGATTTATGGTCATCTATACCTATTGATGTAGATATAGATCCATATCGATCTATCTAAACATAGATAGAAACCTATTTAAATGTACCTTGATATGGCTATATCCATAGAGAGCTATCTACATATAGATATTCATCAATATAGATTCATCTAAATGTAAATATAGATGAGTATAGACCAATCTATATATAGATGTAGATCAATATAGGTCTATCTAGATATAGGTACAGAACAATATAGATCTACCTAGATATAGGTATAGATCAATATGGATTTATCGAAATATAAATATAGATGAATATAGATCAATCTAAATATAAATATAGATGAATATAGATCTACCTTGATATAGGAATAGAACAATATGGATTTACCTAAATACAAATATAGATGAATACAGGTCAATCTAGATATAGGTATAGATCAATATGGATTTATCTAAATACAAATATAGATGAATACAGATCAATCTAGATATAGGTATAGATCAATATGGATTTATCTAAATACAAATATAGATGAATATAGATCTACCTAGATATAGGAATAGATCAATATGGATTTATCTAAATACAAATATAGATGAATACAGATCAATCTAGATATAGGTATAGATCAATATGGATTTATCTAAATATAAATATAGATGAATATAGATTTGTCGAAATATAAATATAGATCAACATAGATCAATCTAGATATAGGTATAGATTAATATAGATCTATCCAGACATAGACTTAGATCTGTACAGATATACCTAGATACAGACACAGATCCATACACATCTACAGTCCACACACAAAGAACGAGAACTGAACTGAACAAAGGCTCACGAAGACTAGTTAGAAGAAAATCGTAAGGCTCACCTGACTCTTTCCCACGTACTGGGCGCCCTGGTCGGCGAGAATCTGTTGCTCCCGACCGGCGGGGTGGCGTACGGTATCCCGAGGTAGACGTCGATTGGTTTGAGGAACTTGGCGCTCTCGAAGGACCGTATGACCCCCTGCACCTCGCCGTAACGGGTCTGGACGATCCGTGGATTGGGCTTGTTCTTGATCGAGAGCGAGAGGGTGGGCGGTGCAATCAGACAGACGAGAATCAGGAAGAGTTCCATCTTGCTCGGCCGGCCCTCCCCCCGCGCGTTTCCGCCGCGATTAGCCTGCGACCCCCAGCGCACGCGCACAAACACACACATACACGCACACAGGCACGCGCGAACGCCCCACCACCGCCGCTCCGCGAAATCAGTATCCATCACCTGTCCCCGCGGCGATCGCTCTTCATTTAGGCCTACTCGAGCGCCAAACGCGCGACACCCCCGAGCAAACTTGCGGCTTCCCCTGGAATTTCAATTGGAACCGGCTCGTCTAATCATCTGGCACTGGTCCCCGACGATTTTTACCCGCACAGTGGAAACCCCTGTTAACTAGGTCGCGATTATCCGCTGCATCGATCATCCGGGGCTACGGGTTCACTGGATCTATCTCGATTATCCAGACACTCGGATGTCCATTCGGTATTCGCCGGATGGAGATCAACTATCGAGAACGGAGGTACTTTGCTTGGAAATCGCGTGACGGATTTATATTCCTGCCTTCGATGTTTTTCGACTACCGTATTAGGGGATGACTGAAGTTACGTGTACAGCGATTATCATTTCTCTCTCAGAAGAATTAGATAAAGGATATTGATACTAAATCTTCGACTGCGTAACTAATTATGTAATTTATTGTTTTCCGGTGAAATCGATGATACTTTCCGCAATTATTATCGTCTTATTCCAATGTTTCATACATTATGCAAAAATGAATAGTGAATTTTAAATTTCCCAACTTCGTTGAATCAAGCAACAGCTGAGAGTCGCTTCCGAATACAAGTTTCATGCTACACAAAGGAACATAGTCACTAAAAAATATTTCTCATCGATACATAAACAGTTTCGCGAATAAAAATGCATTCTCCATTGCACAAAAAGACCCGTCCCCACGTAACCAGCACACTTCCGATAATTCATTCTCTGCTCTGGATCATCCGGATCACCTGTACCCGAATTAGCCCACTTAACCGAGGTTCCACTGTGACGTACCCTCAAAGCGGCGGCCTCTCTACGAAGCTGACCCTTTCCCGACGGGTCGAAGCTCTCCGGCAACACCCAAAAGGGTGAAACAGTTCCACGAGCAAGCCTTCACCTATCTAGGCCGCGCTCGTCTGAAATTCCCATCTCGCGCCGGATATTTTCATCCCCGTCCCGTCGATGTCGGATAAAACGAAACGATTCCGGGCGACACGCGTGCGTGCGGAAAGGATAACGCGGCGACTCGTAAGAGACGAGCGGCTCGATAAGAGCTGCGAGTCGAGCTCTGCCCGACTGACACGTCAGGGGTCCCGTGGACTTAATTGAAATCAGCCGAGATAGCAGCCCCGACGGGACAATAAAGTCGCCGTGTTCCCGTGATACGCGCGAATTTGGATTCAGCCCCGCGCGCGGCGATCGACGGCCGATCCCCGCGCGGAAGCCCTTTCTAATCTGGAAAGCTACGCGGCGCCGTGTCATCCGAAGATCATTACCTCGCCCGATCGCGGGGAGAAGCTGGATAACGCTCGGAAGTGGCGCGTATCAATTCGATATCGATCACCGTCCGAGTTTGAGGGCCGATAAGACGTCAGCCGGAGGCCCGAACCCGTTCGAACGAACTCGTACGCGGGGCCATTATGGAAATCAGCACTTATCAGGCCCGAAGGGAGATTGCCGTTCGTTATCGCGTAACTGGCTCACGTGCCCTCCGTCATCCGCGCGCGTGGAAAGCCGGGAAAAAGGAGATAAGATATATTTCGGACGCACGGCTCTCCTGGATGATCCCTGCGCGGCTTATCAGTGACTTTGCGATCTTTCCTCCGGAATCTATCTTCGAGACGCTCGTTTTATCGGAGGTTGAATTCAAATTCTACCGAACGGCGCCGAGGATTTCGCAAATCGATCGACGTCGCGGCGATCGTCGTTCTCGAGCGATCTCGCGTGCTCGAGACGACACGGTCGGCGGCTTTATCGAATTCACGGGTTCCTTCTTATTCGTTCCGGCTGTTGGTCGCTGCGAAAGTCTCGGGGCGCTTCCCTTAATTAGCCAGACTGTCTAAATTATAAAAGTAGCTGCGATTAACTCCGCACGAACCTCTCGACCCGCCGGGTGGGAGGGAGCATCGGGAAAGTTCGGAATTGGTTTAGTAGTTCGCCCGAGGGTTTCGTAACTATGAACTTATTGCCGAGAAACACGAGGAAAAATTGGCTGAACCAGTTTACCATCAAATTGGATCATTGACTTTGATTAGCTTCGCGCCGCTCCGGATTAGAGGGACCAGTGTCAGACGAGGCTGCGCGTCTACGAGGCGGAACGCATCTTTCGCGGTCTGCGAGTCGCGGGTCGGCGTGCTCTCCGATGGATCGTTCGCGATTAACTCTTCGACTGCAGCCTCATTCTTGCGTTTCCGCGTGCGAGCTCGCCGATACAAGTTTCACCAGGCGAAGACACCCGCGCGACGCACGATCTCATCTACGCGGACAGTCAGTTCGCGACTTTCGGTCAACGTGCGAGCGTTCTTCCCAACGAATCGAGATGTCGAGCAGTGGAGGATATTCGAAGGTGTTCAAGGAGTCCTAGGTAACGCTGTTGGGTCCGTCAGAGTCCTGCAACAGAGAAAAGATCATTATTGTTGCGTTCGATCGGTGAATTGTTGGAAGAGGTATAGTTCCGAGAAAGAATTCTGACCGTCTCCTCCTGCGAATGGTACGCGCGGAAGGGAAGAACGATAACAGAGATAAAGGAAACGGAGAAGAAAAAAAGAACAACGGTTTTTATCGGCGAGCACTGAGAGCGATCTCTTTATTCTTTTCTCTGGAGATCTTGAGATCGTTCCGTTCGGAAACGACGGCGAGTCAGTATGTACCCAGGGATCCTAGCCGGCGGTCGAGGACGTAAAAAGATATGGCTGTATCTTTTCGATAAGTCAATCGAGACGAGGGTCTTAGTCAAGAAAATAAGGGAAACTCGAGAAGGATCGAGAGCCTTGTCAAACATCGATGCTAGTTTCTGATACTGAACCGTCCGGTTTCGAGTATGGAACCGTCCTTCGCGGAATCGCTAAAGCTCGACCCATCGTTGCTATCGAATTTACCCGGAAGTTGTTCTAGCATTTTTCGAAAACCGACAGAGATTTAAATACGTAGAACCATTGGAAATAGTCACTTTGAGAAAGCTTACAACAGATTATTCTCTTAATGTCTGTGGCGCTGAGATCAGATTCTAATTAGATATTCTCTAGCTTCAAATTAACTTTAAAGCTAGATCCGTTTCTGTTGAAACGGCGTTAAGCTCATCGTCGCAAGCCCTATCTATTCTATTGCATTCGAATTTCATTTATATGGAATCCTCGTTAGATCAACACTATCTACATAACACTTGATGGTTCCAATTAATACAATCAGAAACTACTTGAACAGTGGCAAGATTAGCAAGTGTCGTATGCAATCTCATTCCAGAAAACCGGTTAACGAAGTGGACAAAACGTTTGCTTTCTCCCGTCAAGTTCAAGTTACTGCAAACACTGTAACTTCGATCGCATTTGCGTCGACCTGTAATTGATCACAATATCTCCTCAAACTTTTCAACACTTCATCGACTAATTCAATCTACTCCTTTACTCAGCCTCGTGACAGTTCACTGAGGTTAATCGTAATAAACCCGAAGCTAATTATAATCGTTTAGATTGTCGGACATCTAACGATCCTCGTCCCAGCTCTCGCGTCGCGAGGAAAGGAAGTCGCTTCTGAAAGGAGGCTGGAAGGCTGTCAACGACGCACCGTTTTGTATACAATTAGCGTCGTTAAATAGGCTAATCGGGGGAGTCCAGGGACAAGGCCAGTGATCGGCACGGCCGGTATACCTATAGCGTGGCGTACAGTCGATTAGACAACTACCCAATAAGCGACTCCACGGCGCAGATATTATCGGGCTGGCGAGGGCACATGACGGCAGGCTGTGCTCAGATGCGTAACTGGCCGGGATTGGAGGCGGCGAGTGCCGCGGTCAATGATAGAGGAGGCATTGAAATGAGCGCGGGTTTCTGAGAAATTACGCGCAGTTGCTGCCGCAGTCAACCGCAGGCAGCGCGCGCTGTCGGCATGCAAAGAATCATGGTCGAAGGTAACCGGATCGCTTCAACGTTCATTGAAACTCGTTCAACGGGCAGCGCGAGCCGGTGCTCCGACGTACTCTTACTTTCGTTCGTACATTGAATTTCGTTCGAACAGTCGATGGAGTTATTACGAGTTTGCTCGTCGGATTCAATAACCACTTCCACGAACACGCTTATATCCCCTTTCCGCAGATTTCATGTGTAACAACAGCCTCACCGTTGGCGCACTGTGCGGCTCGTTACAATGAATCGAAAGTTCGCTGTGTTTTGTTTCTTGAGATCCGGCTCGAAGGATCTCTTGTGGTGCGCGAGGAATGTTAAATAATCCGTGCACTGTACAATGTATGGATATAATTGAAAGTATAACAAACTTAGCAGTACGAGGATAACAATGATTCGACGTATCGAAAGTTTCTCAGCTGGAGAAATCTCTGTCGTTCGTTCGTTCGACTTTGAATATCTGGCTATTTCGGCCCAAGCTCCCTTTAAAGCTGTGCTTGGCGGAGTGATCATTCCTAATTGGTTGGCTCTGGTTTACTGTCATCGGCAAGAAGGTCAGATGAAACGCACGCCTCCAACCTAACGGTCATCTTCAGTCGTGGCGTGACATACGGGAATTCCAAAAAGTCCTGTTTTTCGTGCTGCTTTAAAAGGTACTGCAATTAACTGAAGCTACATTGCCCTATACCTTTGCACGTTCAGGTTTACAATTTGATCGGTTGTATAGCAATTTACCCGCCATAGTCCGACTAGCAGTAAACCCCTAAATAAAGTCTAAGCATTCAGTTTCAAAGGGACTTACGAGATGATGATGCATATCGAAGTTTAGAAAGTTATCAGAACAGAGCAGACGTTAGTAATCGTTGAACGGTTTATTAGGCATTTAGTACATTCTTATAGGTTCTCTATCGAACGAGTTCAGTTTCGGAGAGCTGCGTAAAATAGTACTCGAAATGGCAAATGTTTGGGGAAGTATCAAAGTTAGACGACCGTCGATAATCGCAGGACGCTCCATTCCTCGCTGATTGCCTTTTCAGAGATGTTCCATTGAATGAAAGATTCGGCTCCGAGAAGGTAAGTGACGCGCGTGACCGAAATCGCAAGTTCCCGGGGAAGGATCAAAAGCAGGTGACTTCCAGTGGTGCGTCGCTAATCGCGGCACGCTCTATTACGCATCGATTGTCCCGTCCTCGAATTTGTGGACCAGTCGTTCGCATACCGGGCCGGTTCACGGCGAACGAGCACGCGTGCACGTGCCGACGCGAACAGCGGCGTGTGCGTGTTCACCGTGTGCCGGCTGTGAGAAGCTGCCAACCGGCGCTCGAGGGTCGGCCTGTTTGAGTTTGCCAAGTAGTAATAATTGCTCGAACAACGGGGCCCAGGCGACGAAGGACACCGGCGCAACGTCGAGTACGGTGCCGCAGCTGGCTGCGAGCTTTACTTCGGCTCGCAAATTCGTCCATCGCGTAATAGAATTTCGTTTGATCGGATGACGATGGGCGCGGGCGAAATGCAATCTGACATATTTGGACACTGCGGATGTTGGAACTCTCGAAACTGCGTCGTCGAGTCTCCTGTAGGTTGCATTTGAAAGCTAAGCGAAGACTGAGTACGAAAATTCTGAGAAATTTCAACCTATCTCCGAGCTTTTTCATCTTTAACCCTTTGCGCTCCAAAAATATGTCACTAGAAATATTGAGTTTATTTTCATGAGATATAGATGACATTTTTTAAACCTAACGAGGAATCTATTCACAAAATAAGGGGAACGATGGTACTTTATTTCCACATTTCACGTACAGATTACTCAAGACTTAATGTTAAATACAAAATTTCACAATTTGGTGCACTAATCGAGTGACTGAGAGGCACCTTCGGAGTGCAAAGGGTTAACATTGTAATAGTGTATAGTACATATAACAATAATTTGGAATCTCCATTAAAGGTTTATCAAGAAAAAGATAAATATATTAACTCCAAGGATTAATCGACTACAAAGACTCGACACTCGTGACAGCGAAATAGTATTTCCCGACTGACACGACAGTCGACGGATCCACGTCCGACTATATTCATATCGCGCCACCGTTTGTCAAGCCGTGCGCCAAACGAAATCGCAGTGTCTAAACGAGTGATCGATGTCCGATCACGGCGCTGCACGTACTGTTAAATCCCCGATCACTTTTTCAGCGTTCCGATCAAGACAGAACGAGCACGCTCGCTTCAGCGATCATGCCAAGTAGCAACATCGAGTAGCACGGGTTAATAAATATCGCTCTAAACACGTCCCCTGCCTCCGGACGGCCAGCCGTGCCGCTTCTAATTGACTTTCGTCCGTGCGGGTCCGCGAGAGCCCTCCCGGAGCCGATGTTGTCGCTGATAACAAGCGGCGCGATTTATCAGCATGCAGAATATCGCGATAAATCCCGTGTCAGCGTTCTTCCAATCCGAGGCGCAGCTTTTCACGGTTGGACGGGGCGAGCGTGTCGTTGTGCTTTCGATTTGTCTCGTTACCGTTAATTGGGGAAGATTTTATAGATGCACAATGCCGCTGCAGGCTAG